TTATCCAGGGCCAATTTTTGGTTTTCAACTCTTATGTGTTTTACTATATAAAAAGTGCCGTAGAAGGTGGTGAAGCAGGGTGCTCTTAGTTGATATCCCTGTTTCCCACCTGGGGCATTTTAGTGATTTCCTGATTTTTGTGCTTTAATCTGTTGTACTTGGTGGTGTACTGTGTGGGCATGTCTAATTTTATCGGTATCCCTAGGATAAAAAGTGGAACCCACACTAACACTTGTTCACACGGGAATCCTTCCGGACATGCATAGTATAAAACCATCGGTCCCATTGAACTTTTGCACATACAGTAACTCTCATATAACATCGTTCTGCACATGTTTTTTTAATGTGGGACCCACTTTTCCTTATAAATCCATTTCTCATACTTAAACGAAATACGAAAATTTCAGCTACATGTAAGATTTTCCTAAATCAAGTTAAACAGGTAGCTGATTAATGCCTGTCAAGTAGTATCAATTTACTGAAAAGCCTTAAATATATAGGGTTAAAAGGGAATATAGGATGGTCAGAGACCTAACGTTAACATATTTTATTTAAAAGGAATATCCATGGAAATTAAAAAGTAAAAATAGCAGGGAAAAAAAATAAGTATACTATAAACCAATCCCTAGCTCAATACTAACGCAACATTTCATTACGGTTAGAGTGTCGTTAATTTCTTCTTAGAATTGAGTTTTAATGCTCTTTCGTTTGATTGTGTCCCCTACTACAGAAAAATGATGTTAATCTTAATAGCTGGATCTTTTTTTCCTTCTGCAGAATTTCCCTTAAACACTTGAAAAGATTGATTAAAATATTTGAGTACTTCAACCACACTTTTCGTAGGGATCTTTATACAACTAATCAACCAATTTATTGTTTATTTTCCGAGTCGGTATACATAGATTATGCACTAATTATGTACGGTTAGATACATATTATACATGATATATGCTAGCTATTTTTTGTTCACGTGATTGAGTGAATGGCTATTTAGATTAATTCTTCATTTTAAAATTGTAATATTGGGCCCGTGCGCCCGTGCGCAGCACGGGCGTTACCTCCACTAGTATGGAAGAAGTGCCGGAAAATTGACTAGCTCAAAAGTGGGGAAGCTTGTGCTGGATTTAACACAATTCCTTGCATATTAACTGTCAATATTCACATCTACTCATGGAGTAATTCTGTGCAATGACCATACCTATTTTCTCTTGTCCATAATGACCATGTATTTAACAGAATTTCCGCTGGCCTTTCGTCCTTCTGTTCCTATTTAAGGTCCAAGGTCACAATTTCACGAGTTTTGCAGTGAATTGAATGACTTAAGATCCAAATATATTATACCAATTTAATGCATTTAATCACAAAACTTTGTACACTATGTGCAAATTTGGTCCTTCCAAATAGTAAAAGACTGTCAATAGTTTGTGAAGTGATCGGCATACTTCCTCCATCCAATTTAATGGATCTTGCAATATGTACTAGAGATTTTGTTAATATCCTTATTTATTATGTTTGGTTAATACAAAACAATCACCTGGAAATATGCATTTCTACTAATTTTATTAAAATGCGTTTATTAACTATATCGTAATGAAGCAAACAATTAGGATGAGGGAATTAAAATGCATTTACAAATCTAAATGGAGCAAAAAATTAGGAGTCTCCCTCACCCCTCTTTCTTTGGATTATTCCACTTGCTTGGTCTCATGAGTAAACCAGTGATGGATAGGGCATCCTTTATGGCATAAAGTTTGAAAATTAATTATTTCTTTTTTATAAGGTACGATAAGAAAAAGTACTACCTATTTCTTTGTTGTTTCTCGAGTTATTCAGTTTTTGACCCATTCAGAGGGTCTCGTATAGGTATCAAAATTTTAGGGAAGGTTGTGTAATATATAATGCCATGAGAGAGATGATTAATTTCTTAGAAACCTCATTGTATGCTTACTAAATACTTTAAGAAATGCCATTCCAAGCATTTTTTTTAGGGATTCTAAAAATATATATTGGATTAAAAAATTAATGGCCTTCATTGGTTTTTGTGCCATTATACAACCTCTATCAGCTTGCTTCAACGTCTTGCACAAATACATGTCAAATTATTTTCTTTAGACTAATTGGTAAGATTAAGTTGGTACATATCCCCTCTAGGCACTGTGATGATGCAACTATGAGAAACTCATAAAACGTGGGTGACAACTCAAGAAGTAGGGCATAGCCTTTGCTAACTTGGCTAGCTGTTAAGAGTATTTCATGAACTTGAATTCATATAAACTTATGACCTTTAGTACTCGGTCACTTCCATATTATGAGGTAGTTTTATTGGAAAGTGAATTTTTGAAATGTATAGACAGAGGCGGATCCAGGATTTAAATCCTATGGGTTCAACTTTTAAAGTTTTTAGCATTGAACCTATTATATTTTTAAAGTTATGATTTTTACTCTGCGTCAAAAGTTATGGGTTCAATTGAACCCGTCGGTAATGAACTACATCCGCCCCTGTGTATAGACGCATAAGTAAAACAAATGCAAGTTGCCAGCATTGTCTTTCTATCATGATATACTTCATCATGAATGCTGATGGCTCACTCTTGGCAGAAATGAGCATTAATTAAGGAAAAGGATAGTGTTGGGAGGTAGTTTTTGTAAATAGAAATGTTTCAATCTTTTGGGGGTGCACTAAAAAGGATAGTGGAAGAAGGGAGTAAGATGGTCTATCCATAGAGTATTTACAGAAAAAAAAAATAGAGAAGTTCAGTTGCCTAACTTTTTTACTGTAAACTCAGCAAGGAAATATTAAAATTAGTTACCCTTTACGTTTAAGATGGTCACATTCTCTTGGTTGCCTTTCCATTTGGGAGATATAGATAAATTAGAATCTAGGATGCATATCCTGGAGAGCTGCATAAGCAAGTATTTAACTGCAACAGTAAAGTTGGTCGTATACTTGTGGTATATGAATTTTTCAATAGGCAATAGCCAATTAAGGAGCTCAAAAAGATATGGAAGATGCGCAGTTAAACGTAATCAATGATTTGGGCTACTCATGGTAATTGTTTAAAAGTGAATTTAAATGGTATTAGAGAATTAGTAAATATGACTTTTCCTCTAAAATTTCCTCTTTGCAAGTAAACTTTGGCAGCAGGCCCTCTTTCGTTCTCTCTCCAAGTTTAATATGCTTATTGATATATGTCATGGCTCATTTGGGACTTTAAATTGGCTAATGTAAATATAGTCTCGCTATGTTTCTATTCGGAATAAAATTGACTGCAAAATTATTTATGAATAGAGTGATAAACTCTTGCATGAAAGAGTTATGATAGAAATGGCTAGGGATCCAGAAGTAAATCACTTGTCCCTAAAGAGAGTGACACAGCTTATGTAAGACTTAATCACAGCTTGGACAACTTCAGTGCAATAACTGAAACAGTTTTTTGAGCCCTTTTAGCTCGGTTACCCGGGAACTTTCATCCTCATTCTGTTCATTTTGTAGGAGATTTTGCTACTTTTTGATGTATTCTTGGGCATTTCTGATCCATCGCTGATCCCTCAAGGTCTGTGAGGTCAGACATGAAATTGGTGTTTTTAACCTGGTCTCCACAACCCTTATAATTTGATGTGGAAATTACCTTGTAGCAAAGTTAAAAAAGCTCTATCATCTTTTAAATATCTCATAATCTGGAGTTAAGAGTTTATTATTTCTTGATAACCAGAGTTGGTGTTTATTATAACAGCAAATCCCATGTACCTATCTCCATTTTGCACTTCTTGATTTTGTCTCTTCCTTTTACTCCATTATTATAAACTTTTTCGGAATATGTGTGCGCCACATTCAACTTTGTGCATTTAACGCAAGGTGTATATAAGCTCATCCTGAAGCATCTGAATAGCTTCACGACTCCTTTCCATTCATCTCCTTGTAAAAATATCAGCTTTCTTGCAGGTCACTTCTACCCTCACGTTTGCTGCAGCCTGTGCTTCTGCTGGCATTACTGTACTGATTGGCAATGACCTTGGTGTCTGCTCTCAGAATCACTGCATAGAGTTTGAGACAGCTACTGCCATGGCTTTTCTTAGCTGGTTCTGTGCTATGCCATCATTTCTCATAAATTTTTGGTCACTTGCATCCCGGTGAAGAGGAAGAAGAATGGTTCTCAAGGAAATACTCAAACAATGTCCGAACATTTTTGGAAAGAACTGCTTTTTGTTCTGATATTGCAAATGTTTGTCTAGATGATCAATGTCCAAGAAACATACAATTGCTGCTGCAGTGTGTAAATACAAATTGTGTAAAGCAGGTCAATGCGCAAACTTGTGTTGTGATATGCTTGCTGCTATTATATGTGCAGGATTGTGCAAAAACTATAGTAGGCACTCTTGAATCTTTGACATCACGTGGGCACTCTTCCTAGCACATTTGGAGTTTGTTCCGACGTTATTCAAACGTAACATTTAGATTCAAGTCCAAAAGCACACATATTTCACCTAAAACTTGTTTCAAAATAACAATCGAAGAGGCTGTCATTATTTTGTACTTCATCCTTAACTCTTGCTGTAGTATATATAATTTATTATCTTACATTCACACAACCAGCCTTTATCGAGTCTATTTAGTCGTATAGGATTGCCAATCAAATTGATAAGTTGCTGAAAGAAGTTTTCTCTGCTGATATACCAAAAAAGTATCACAAACTTTTGATTCTCACTGCAAATACTAGAGCTAAATTGAAATGATTCAGTGAACGAATATTTGGAAACAAACATCTGCACTCAAAAAAGCTGCACTAGTAAATTTACACAAGAGTATGAAGAATCCGGGAAGCAAAATACAAATTTAGTCTAATTAAATTAAGGCAAAACAGACAGGAGCCCCACAAGTTACAAAAATTTTCATCGGTCCCAAGATCTTTCCGTTCAACTGTGTTCCTGTCTGTCAGTGTCCTCTGTGAGGAAGATGTCAAAAAACAAAAAGGAAAAAAAGAGGAGATTTGACAGCAACATTAAACAAATGACCAGTTAATAAATGAGAAGGCTAAGCAGTGGACACTAGTTTCTTCAGAAGCAAAGACTTTCCATGCAATAGCTTGTTCATATGAAATATGTCGTCCCATTGCAGACATGCAAATACCACCCGGCAGGTACGCGAAACCCTATGATCAAGAATAAACAGAATCGAAGAAAGTAAGAGTTAAGACCTCAACTTTGGTTTCTCGGTTCTGCAAAGACTAAGAGTCGGCTGTAAATACCTGATCCATGATCTTGGGAAATTCAGCGAACAACACTTTCCGGCCAGATTCGTCAAATATCCTATCTAGAGTAATGTCTTGCAAAGCAACTAATGTTGTCTCCAGCATATCAAGCCCAGCCTTATTAGCAAAAATGAAAACCGGCAGCGACTGCAACAGCAGAGAAAGAAATTCAACTTACTAACGCCATTCATTTAACAAGATAAAAGACTAGAAGGCGGATGAATAGGTCAAAAGCAATGCATGTTGACATGTCAAAAGCATGCTAGGGACCAAAATGAGGACAATCAAAATGCCAATCACAAGTAGTTCAAATATGCACCCATGATATGACATTTTCACCATAAAAAATCACCATCACAAATATAATTTAAGTCGAGCTTATTTCTTAATATCATTGTCCAGCTCCTTCATATTCTAATATTAATTAGGGTCATGACACTACTAGGTTAATACATTTTTCTTTATGCATATGTTCATGTTTCACCGCAACACAACCTACAATTTTTTTACTAACAAACCGTAATATGCTGTTTACATGAGTTCATAAGAGAATTCATACCTTCAATGAGCAGCACAAAATAGCATCCTGATGTTGCCAAAGATTCTTTAGCACTGATTCATCGCCCCTCGAATCAGCTTGAAGCAACTCTGTCCCCATGTGATAACTGGATATTATATGCAAAAGAAGAAAACGGTATGTTAACAATCAGAAAAGTACTTCTAAGACCATCTGATTTTTCTCAATATGTTGAGAAAGGAAAAATTCTCAAAAAATAATTGAAGATCAACATGCACACTCGACACTGCTTCCGCTCTTGGTGGTAAATGAGATTTGCAATGAATCGACTTGTAAGCACGACAGTATGAACATGTAAAGCAATAAACCCCATATTGAGCTGAAATGCAGAGAATAAGGTTTCACCATAGTTGAGAAATCATTTTACCTGTAGCTCTGGCAGATCCAGTGCGACAAAGTTACAGCTTCAGGGGAGCCTGGAGAAAGCTTGGACCCGAATGTTGAATTCACTCCTGCGGGAGATATTGCCATGGCAACCCGTTGGACAGATGAAACCACACTGCGAACATACTGGCGCGCCATGGTAGCTACATTATCCTGAAGATTGTCCTCGAATGGAAATTGAAAAGCAATTGTCAATACAGATCGTGCACTGTAGCCAGAGACCACATCTCCAGTAGCAGGGTTTGTTGCTGGGCCAACTTCAAGACTTGATGCCAGATCCAGTGTTCTATGAGCATTCGATGTATCCTGGGGATCGCTCTGAAAATAGAATCACCGGTTATGCTCCAAAATCGAGCAAAATGAAAAGAAAAAAAAAAATCCATGTAAACAATAGATTTGCCAAATTCAATGCTTGAAGTTGAAAATCAAAATATTTTACTCAACTGATTTTGACTCGAGAGGAATGATACGAAACCCGGAGGGCAACAGGGGTGCATCATCTGGAAACATCTCATCAATTGCAGCAAAAACTAGTTCAGAACAAGCTCCGACAGCATTCTCATCGGTTCCACTACACATCTAGAAATAACTGTTTGTTAGCATTATCCTTCAACAATGTATGTACATACAACACACCGAAACATCAATGTATAAGCAAAAGTACCTGGAGAAGGTGAATATCTCTCGGCATAAAAGCATCTTCCTGGCCAATAGAGTGCCCTTCCAATCTAATAACTTCAAGCATCTGCAAACCAAAATAAAGTGAGAGGAAGTCTCAAGTCTCAAATTCTTGCTCATGTATGTCGAGGCATTCCCCATAACACATAAGTGAGAACTGGGGCAATTGCAAACCGCTTACCTCTTCATGTTCTATTGTGTGGCCCAGTGGCATTATTATCTGGCTTCCGGTAAATCTGGTAGGCCTCACCCCAGGATATGCATATGAACAAGATTTCATTGAGGAAGCTACATAGGCATCAACATTAAAGTCCGCCCACTCTGAACGGTGCTCCCTGAGAAATCGAACCAGTACCGCAGGAGGAACATTCTGCCACCGAACAAAAGAGTTAAAAGTCAATTCTCATTCTTCCAATTAATAGCAAGATGCCCTACTCAGAGCATTAAACAAATAGCTTTATAAAACACTGAGTAATATTCTCTAATATTCCAGGAATCCTGATTCTTTCCTAGAATTAGAAATTGAAAGCATAATAAAAATCTGCAACAATCCGGAACGATTTTAATTTTTCCTCGACTTCAAAATCTACCATTATCGCTCTTTTTTAGTAAGAGTATAGAGCCAATTTCTAAGAAACAAGAGCAGTAAAGAAAACTTGTCTTGTGATACTAGATCTAATACAGATACTGAATAGGTATCACAATATATGATCCTACTTTGAACAGCTGCAACTCTGTTTGCTATGAACTAACAAGGCAACAAGAGCACTGCAAAACTTGTCTTTAGAATTACTTGACCTATTCAGTGAATTAACAAGGCAAAGGTAGTTGGCCAATGAAAATCTGTAGTTAGTTCAAGAAAGCTTAATCTGTTGACCTGGAGTAGCATTGATGCTTTGGCACAAAGGATGCCTCCAAGTGGTGAAAGAGGAACGGAAGTGGTGGCAATGTTCTTCCTTGAATTGACAGCAACTATAACATCTTCACCACCATCAGAACTTAACAATGACCAGCCATCATCACTGAATCCATTGATGGCATCATTGAAGCCTCTGCAATATAGAAAATAGCCTAATTATGATACTTGCGCTTCAGGATTCGTATGTCTACTTTTATGGCATATCATATCTCGAAGCACAGAACAATCAGAGCAATAACCAGCACCTGCTTAATCTCTGGCTAAATGTTCGAAGAACTGCAGGTTGCCTTCCCAGACCATATACAACCTCCCCACTAGTCTCCTGAGCTATTTGCCTTGCATATCGCAGTGCCTTTACAGCAAAAACTAACCATAATTAGTATTTCTTTTGCTGTTGTGGTAAGTAACGGTAATTGCTCAAGTACTTAAAATATAAAAAAAGGCTGTAAGTATTCTCAGAGCAACTTCTGGAATTAAGCAACATCGAATGCAGTTAACAGTATGCTGTGCTTCACAGCATAAGGTTCTTCATTACTTATATGTTTCACATGCAGACTTTTATGGCAACACAATGAGGAAAACAATAATGAACCTTTGAAAACTCGAATAACGAAGAAATCCTCGATAACGTGCATTAAGAGACTAAGGATTTGTCAGGTGTTCTATATTTTTAAAGCTGGGAACTTCTAACAGAATAAACAAAAATATCAGGCTATATCTAACTGCTCGTCCAGAAAGTACAATCCTATCTACTTCAGAGCTGAACAAAAATTGAGATCTAGTTGTGAAGACCAAAAAGGTTGTTAAACATCCAGTAGTTAATAAAAACCAAGGGTTCAACTCACCGCAATAGTCATTTTCTGTGCCACAACTTTTGACGATTCATAAAGTGGACGCAAAATCTCAGGGGCACTCCATGCCTGAAAAACAATATTATGCAGTGAAGTCCAGCTGCAAGACAGAACAAGCTAATAAGAAAGAGAAGTGGTAGTACAGCGTGTAATCTGACCTCAAGATTCAGGTGGTCAACAATATGTATAATGGATCCTCCACCGTCACACGGTCGGATTAGATATCCAGACGGAAGCATTTGAGCTCTTACAAACTGGGAAGCAGAAGCAGCATTCGGCCCAGCTCCAGTACCAGAGAGGGATCTTTCACAAACCTTACGGGGAGGAGGAATTGATGGGCACATACAACAAACTATCAGCAAAATATTCATAACTAAGTACAAAAGTGGCCAGATTGCTAATCCTAAGACACACTAATGTGAAGGATGTGCTTACCACAAAGCTACCATTCTCCAGGGTGGTTGTGTATCTCAGAGTCCAAAAATCACGTGCAGGAGCCAAGGTGGTAGGAGCATATATCTGGAAAAAAAATGATTTCAACAATCCCCTCAATGCTGTAGCTTCTCCAATCAGAAGCCTACGTGAAGATTGATGAGAAAGTAATTAATTACCTGCGTGTACAAAAGTTCAATTGTTCCATTTCCTGCAGAAAACATTGTGAAAACTTCAACGTTCCGGCAATCTCGGAACCAAGAAGATCGATCTTTGAGGATCTCAGCAATCTGTAAATATTAGACAAAAATATATGTACTTAGAAGAAACTGGCATAATCTAGTACACTCATCAAGGGACCAAAACTAGTAATAGAGCAGCAGCACTACATTTAAATTAATTTTCCACAAGACTGCTTACCTTTGTCGGCTCTAAACTAACAAGACCACATGCTCGGGCTGCCACTCCACTACAACTGTGTGAGATGGCAAAAATCCCAACTGAATCCGGACCAGGCTGACAATAGAATGAAAATTTAGTTTTTTAGCTATCCAGTCAAAGAGGCACGTGGCAATACTGAATTTTTTTTTAAAACAAAAAAGGATTGACTAAAGTTCAAACCTTCATCCCAGGCATCGGGACCCAATCAACAGCAGTTCCTGTAGCCTTGGAAAGGAACTCTGCTAAGGTTTCCTCTGCAATCGACAGCAGTCTGCGGAGAGAACAAACTTGACTTAGAGATAAACAAATTAGCCCCTCAAAATGTGGTCTATGCCATTTAATAAATAACATAAATATGTATAAACACCATAGACAGAAGGGGTGGGAGAAATAGGAGTTTGAAATTAATTACCCAGCAGGGTTGTTAGCATCTCTGAGGGAATGCTGAGGGGTAGTTACCACAGACTCACAACTTACATCAGTAGTGGCCGCTGATGCCTGCAGAAAACACAAATACAGTCTAATTAATTCCTACAGAACAAAAGATCACCGGAGATATCTGCCATCCGTTTCTTGTCCATTGGTTCAATATCACAGCAAAACAAGAAGGGCGGGTAGAAGAATATAGAAAGCAAAAACACGATGAATTCAAAATTTAGTCATGCATTTCGTAACTATAAGAATGACCTAAAACCTGTCATCAAAATAAAGACAATTTACACTGTTTAAAATATGTTACCATAAGCTGTGGAATATCAGGAATCTTAAAATCCATAGTGCTTATCAGAAACAAAAGACAAGATACGTTAAGTGAAAAAAAAGGTTTTTTACCATAAATAATAAAGGAAAAATTATGTTAACTTACAGTATGCAACTGTTGCCGCATAAAGCCATTTTCACACACAAGCTGCGAAACCTGTTTTTGCAAGCGATCATTCTCCTCCATCAATAGTTTATTCATTGCAGACAGCTTTCTATTTACAGTCTGTAGTCGAGAAGACTCTTTCCTTTGCTTCTCTCGACACCTGAAATGATACAATATTCACCCTCTATTCCAAAATCTAAGCTCAACTACCCAACAGACAGAAATCAAACTACATATGCAATTCATGATTCACTTAATGCCCCACGGTTAACTCATACAACCCAATCGACAAGCCTAGGAAACTAGAAGGACAGTGATATATTCCACTTCATCCATCACTGATCTAACTAATCCAAGATTTGAGCAGTACCAAACAAACTAGAGCCCAAGATCACAAGTGCAGTACACACCTAAATATATGCATTTAAGAACAAAAAAGAAACCAAATTGGAGTAATCCAAATTGAACAATGGGCAGTGTACCTTCTGTTTTGAAACCAAACTTTGATCTGCTTAGGCTCGATATTCGACAGAATAGGGCATTCACGGATCAATTGTTGGCGGCGCAAGGAGCTAGGCTTAGGGCACTCAGCATAAACCCTCTCCAATGCCTCAACTTGCTCAGCTGTATACCGGACATACTTTCCACTACTGTCAAGATGTTTTGTAATACTACCACTACTACTCTCCCTGTGCTGCTGTGCAACCATAGCCATTGCCCTCAAACCTCAAAATCCCAAACCAAAAAAAAAATCAAGATTTCCAAATTTTCAAACACCCTTTTAAGAAATAAAAACACCCCCAAGTAGATATATTCCCTGCAAACAGCTTTTATTATATATATCAACACAGAGAACTAAGATTCTCTGAAACAAAGACTTTATCTTTATCTCTTTTTTTTTTCTTTTTCTAGTGATCTCAGACAAGATTAAATGAACGATCTTGATTGAGCCAGAAGATTCCTAGGTGCCCCCTTTTGTTGTTTCTATACTTTGTGCCCCTTATAACAGAAGGCTCAAACACACACTTCACGCTTAAAAACTTACAAATTAAGGTACAGCCAAAACTGCTCTAACGAAAGATATGGCTGAAAAGGATATAAATACAGACAAAAATTCTCTCTCTCTTTCAAATTCACATAAGCTGTAAACTACTCGTGTTTGATAAAAACACAACACCATTTCCATTCACATAAAGCTCCAAACTCTATCATCATTTAATTTATTTTTTTTAAAACCATCAACTTTTTACCTCAGCCCTCTGTTTTTTTTTTCAAACACTCAATTCTTTGGAATCTTTAACCCCTTTTTCTACCTTGATGTAATTACTTCTCCAGCTGTGTTTAATACAGAGAACAAATGACACGTTCAGAGAGGCCTGAATCTTCGCGTGTAAGGCCAAAAAAAGAGAACCTTTACCCAAATATTACTGAAAAAGATGGCACCTTCTTAAAGTAGACAAACAAATCACCACAACCCCTTCAGTATATACATAAAATAGCCAGCTTTGAGATTACAAAAACAAGAATTACCCCCACAAAAAGTAGGAGAAAAGAAAGCAAAAATTTGCTCTGTTTTCTTAGTTTTCTTGAGCTTCAATATATAAGAAGAAGCATAACACCTCCCACTTAAGATCTGAAACTGAAACAAACTCTAAAAGACATGTTGGAACAGCAAAAAGATAGAATTTTTTTTAGAGAGAGAGACAGAGAGAAGTGATGTTTTTTTAGTGTGTGTAAGGTGAGGTGAAGAGGTGTGTGAGAGTGGTGGGTGAGAAAAGGGCAAAAGAAAATGGAGAGAGAGAGAGAGACTGTGATGTGGGAATTTGCTTGACTTAAAGCTTTATGAGCTCGCAAATCGAAAATGCCAGTGTTTTTATGCTGCTGCTGTTGCTCTTGCCTTTGTGTTTTTCTGTTTTCTTTTATTTTATGTCCTTTTTCTTCACTAATAATTTAATTAAAATTGCAATATGGTACGTACGAATATAAATATTCAGTTATCTGCTAGAGTATAATAATACAACTTCTTTTTCTTTTTCTTTTTCCTTTTAATAAAATAAAATATGTGATCACCACTGTTTGGATGATTTTTTCTAGCTATAAACATGAATTCTAGCTATAAACATAAAAGGGAAAAGTTCAAAGGACATTTTTGTCCATATATGGTCAATATTGTCTTGATGAATGTTTTAACTTGATCTACATTATATATAAAAGGAGATTTAGAATTTAAATTTTGTGGTTGGAATACCACTAAATTTAATGATCATTTGAGTTACTAAATTAGAATTTAATATATGTACATCTGATACTAAATTATTGAATTTGACTGAATTCGTAACTTACATGGCATATCTGTCCCTCAAATTACAGGATTTTTTTTTTCTATATGGTCTCTATTGTCTAGATGAATCTAAATTATATCAAAGCATATCTAGAGTTTGAATTTTGTGGATAGCAATAATGCTAAATTCAATGATAATTGAATATTTGAACATACAATTGGATTTGATTGAATTCATAATTTATATATATCGTATATCTGCCCTTGAAATTATAGGACATTTTTATTCCATATATGGTTACTATTATCAAGATGAATTTTTTTAACTCAGAGCTAAACTCTAAGGAAAAAGAAGTTAAAAGAGAACTCTACGGGTGGTACTAATGCTGCTCGGTGGGCCGGGCCTGAACCGGACCGGACCGGGCCCGCGGTCCTAACGGGCCTGGTGGGCC